TGAGACTCTTTATCTCATTGAGATATTAATCAACAAAAAAGCTGGAAGTAGAGCTCTGCCTCAAGTGGTAGAGTGCTACTCTTGAGCATAAAAACTCAGGGACAACATCCAGGACCTGAGTTCAAGCCCCAGTATTGGCACAAAAAGAAGAAAAAAACAGGCATAAAAGTGTTTAAGGTAAAGAGAGTAAGCTCCTTTGAAAGCAAAAGAAAGACCATTAAAGAACGTAGAGAAACCTCTATCTGAAAAGGAGTTAGAGTCCAACGCAGTCCTTTCAGAGCGCAGTTTTTATAATATGAAATTCCTTCCATCTCTTCCTCTATGCTTTGCCATGATTGCTTCATGGCTTGTACGTGCACGCCTCAGCTCTTTTAATCGGCTAAGCAGCACTTAGGTGCGTTACAGGAAGAGAAATGTTTGAGTAGGAAAACACATTTGAGCAGGAGTCCAAGGCACTATGGAAAGTAGAAATGCCATGATAGGACATTTATCCAATACATATTATGTCCACCTAACAGTTCTCCTTTTACTTTTAGTGGCAGCAAGCAGCACTAGGGAAAGAGAGCTCCAAAGATAGCTTTCTCTTTAACAAAAAAACAAAAAACAAAAAAATACCTCCCAGACAACTCATTAGTTCATTAGTCCATGAATAAGACAATCACCCCTCAAAACTCCCAACTCCAATGCTATTAACATTAGACCTTGGGGATGTTTCCAATACAACATTCTGAAACACATCTAGACTATGACACCATAGGTCCTGTTATTGGAGGAATAAAGGCTTAAAGCCAAGCTGAGTGCAGGTGGCTCAAGCCTGTAATCCTAGCTACTCAGGAGGCTGAGATCTGAGGATGGTGGTTCAAAGCCAGGCCAGGAAGGAAAGTCTGTGCAACTGTTATCTCCAATTAAAAACCACCAGAAAACCAGAAGAGGTGCTGTGGCTCAAGTGGTAGAGCACTAGCCTTGAGCTGAAGAGCTGAGGGACAGTGTCCAGGCCCAGAGTTCAAGCCCCGTGACTGACAAAAAACAAAAAAAAGGTTTAAAGCCTAAATTTTCTACTCTGATGCCTTTCCTCCTTGATGAGTTGAGTAACTGTAGGAAAATATGGTGGGTTTTTTTTGGGGGGAGGAGTTTGCTTTGTTTTGTTGTTGTTTTGGTTTGGTTTTTGTTTTTTTTGCCGGTTGTGGGGCCTGAACTCTGGGCCTGGGCTCTGTCCCTCAGCTCTTCAGCTCAAGGCTAGCACTCTACCACTTGAGCCACAGTGCCACTTCCGGCTTTTTTCTTTTTGCTTATGTGGTGCTGAGGAATCGAACCCAGGGCCTCAGGCATACAAGGCAAGCACTCTTCCACTGAGCCACCTTTCCGGCCCGTTTTGTTTGCCTGTTTTGGGGGGGGGGTTGTATGAAACAAGTTGAAGTAAAACAGTAAGATTCTCTCGAGGTCCTGTTTTTTTGTTGTTGTTGTTTGTTCTTTCCAGCACAACTATGAAGGAAAAAGTATCCGTGTATGGCTACTTACCAAACTGAAGCTGACCAATTCTCATGTTCATGGCATTCTGAGGTAATCCCTCTACGTGACCTGGCGCCTGAGAGAAGCTTTGTACCTAACGAAAATTCTGCCATAAAAGCCAGTGAACTCTAAGCTCAACGAGCTAAATTGCACAGACACACACGCGTCTTTTATATTCCTCAGAGAAAGGAGAACTGTTACATAGGTAATGATAAAATGTGACGGACATACTATGGGCACGCCATCACCGTGCCTCTTATTCCCATAGTGCCGCTAGCTCTCCCTCAAATGTTTCTTCTTCCCATAATGCTGTGGGTTCCCGCTCAAATGCTTTTTCATCCCATAATGCCCTCGGCATCAGCTCAACCAATGAAAAAGAACAGGGGTGGTCCTACACCGGGCATCACCCAATGAGCGCAAAACTAAGAGGAGGAGCTATGGAAGGAGCCCTGTATTACATGCCGTTACCCTCCAAGAGGATTCCAGGGGATTCCTTTTCTTCCTTTTCTTCTTTTCTTTTTTTTTTTTAAGAGGTTGAAGATTGGTATTCAACCTGGGTACCTCATGTTTTCACGCATTCGCTAGTTCTCTACCAACTGAGCCTCGCGTCCAACCCCTTCTTTGGACTCCTTTAGTGGCACACTTCTGTACGGATAGAGAAACCAGCCTGGCTACAGTCATTCTTGGCTTTTTCCTTTCACTTTCAAATGAATTCACTCTGTTTACCTTAAACACTTTTTGGCCTTTATTTATTTTTCCCCTGATCTTGGGGCTTTAACTCAGGGCACTGTCCCTGAGCTTCTTTTGGTCAAAGTTAGCAACCACTTGAGCCACAGCTCCACTTCCAGCTTTTTCTGTTTATGTGGTGCTGAGGAATTGAACCCAGGGTTTCATGCATGCTAAGCAAGCACTCTCCCACTAAGCCACATTCCCTACTTCCAGCATTTTTGGTGGTTAATTGGAAATAAGAGTGTCATGAACTTTCCTGCTTGGGCTGGCTTCAAACGGTGATCCTCAGATCTCAGCCTCCTGAATAATGAAGATTACAACTCAAGCCATCGGCTTTTGGATTGCCTTTTAATTCTGTAATGGGCATCTGATTAAATATACTAAATTTTGACATACAGTAAACATCTGAGTAGAAAAATGAACAAAAATATTTGAAAAATACTAGATTTTAATAATTAGGTTTCAAATATTAGATTTATTGCCAGTGTTTATATCTCATGACATTTCAGTTCTTGAACAAATAATTACAATTGTTCATAACTTTCAATCTATGTGCCACCGACTACAAATATCAAGTTAGAAATTTGCCTGAACTGGTTGGGTTTACTCACAAGTTTTTACACCCTTACCTCAACACGTCTTACAGGGAGAAAATTCTAAAGAAACTTCATAGAAGTCACAGTACCAATTTCTCCATCACACAGTTTCAAGAGATTTGGCTGTAAAAGTAACTAAACCAAAAAAAATGTTTAATGTGTTTGCAACAAGAAGCTGGATGCTGGTGGCTCTTGCCTACAATCCTAATTACTCAAGAGGATGAGATCCGAGGACCACGGTTTAAAGCCAGCCTGGGTAGGAAAGTCTATTGGGACTTTACAATTAATTAGCAAAATGCTGGAAGTGTGGAATATGGGTTAAGTGGAAGAGGGCCAGCCTTCCATGAAAAACGCTATGAGACAGCACCCAAGCCCTGAGTTCAAGTCCCAGTATCAACACAGTATCTCTTTTTCTGAGTGAGCCTGGGAGAGAGGAGGGGCTTACTTAGTGCCTCATGGTTTGAAGCCAGCCAGAGCAGAAAAGTCTGCGAGATTCTTCTCTCCAATTAGCCACCAAAAAAGGTGAAAGTGGAGCTGTGGCTCAAGTGGTAGAACACTAGCTTTGAGGGAAAAGAGGAAAGAAAAAAGAAAAGAGCTCAGAGACAGCACCCAGGCCCTGAATTCAATCCCTCCCCTCCGTCCCCCCCCCACTACAGAAAGAAGAAAGAAAGAAAGGGAGGGAGGGAGGAAGAGGCGGGGAGGGAGGATGAAAAGGAGGGAGAGAGAGAAACTAGGATGCAATAGAAAATACACTGTAAATGAATGAATGCATTTCTTCTGCAAACAACACAAAATAGAGCAACAAAAAATAAACCACAAGGGAAAAAAGAGAGATATAAACAAACCTTTTTGGTAAGAATAAAGAAATCTTTCTGCTTGGTGACAAACTTAAAATCAATTATGAAATGGATTAAATACTTCTTCAGAGGTTAAATGAATGCCTTGAGATCCTAATTTGAATATGCTACAAAAACACAAGGAACTTATTTAAGTCGCAAAGGTTTAGAGTGCTTTTTAGAAAATTAATCCATTATGTTCACTCTAGTGTAAATGCTCAGCATCTCCAAACTTCATAGCTCTACATATAAAATATTGTCCCCAAAATGAGTGAATGAAGCCATAAAGCAAAACTTCACCTATAAATCCAGAGATTCATAGTTACCATTGATATCTTCAGCTAATTCTTTCCATGTTAACCAGCCTCATCCCTCCAGATGTGGGTAAACAATGAACCCAAGCTCAGGAATATCTAGACAGAACTGGAGAGTGAAAAATCCAAACCAACGTTCCATTCTGCAGTACACTTTATACCCAAAACTATGTATACAGGTGTACTTCCCTAACCTGCTAATGCTGCTGTAACAAAATACTAGAGACTAATTTAGTTTTTAAATGTTTCCTTCGTAATTTTGGAGACTAGAAAATCCAAAATCAAGGAACCAGCCAGTAAATGCCTGTGTTTCACAGATGTCTTCATCTAGGTATCTGGTACTCCCCCCACACATACACCTCTTCTCCGCCCCCTCCAACTATTTTCCCACAACCCTTTCATGAAGGTGGGACCTTGCTGCGTTGTCACTTAACTCTAACAGAGCACTGGTCTAGAATGCAAGTTCAATTCCTGAGCATTACCAAAAAAAAAAAGGCCAGACAAAAACCAGAATTAACCCTGTCCCCCACAAGTGGGATGAGAACAGTCTTCTGACTTAATTCCTTCCAAAGGCCTCACATGGGAAGATCACCACAGTGGGAATCAAGTGTCAATCTTGAATTTTGAAAGGAGCACTCTAACATCCCAACACACACCTTTTAACTAAATCTGCTAACACATAGCAAAGCTAGGGCACTGCTTTGATTATTCTTTAAAATATTAAAATGTAGACGAACAGTGGGACAGAAGTATGATAGATGTGCTCATTGGCCAACAGGTACAGCTATAATTTGAGAGCAATCACAATTAGAAATAATGAGTTTTTCTTGAGTTACTCCACCTTTAAACTACAGTTCATTGAGTTATCCTTTGAAATTAGTCTAATGATTACTCTTCCTATGGGAATTCAGGAAATCTCTCATAATTTTTAGTTTTTACACATACTATATATTGTGTATATATATATTTTAAAAGTCATTACCATTTAAGAAACCACTCTGAAAAAAAAGGCGTGGTAAAAGTAGAAGTATGCATTTTATTCATTCCATCAGCTGAGAATTGTCCTATTGTATGAACACAGTATTATACAAAAAAAATCACAAAATATTACAAAATTAAAAAGTACAAACTGCATTACTTAATAAATATGACTAAAAGTAGTTAAAGTGGCAATGAGATAGTCTTTCGGTTGGAAACATTGTTTGACCCAGCAAACCACACAAGCCCACACAAGCTCTGTTTATAGAGCTTTTTACATAATATAGGATAATCCTATTTTGCCTTTTGGGAGAACTTAAAAAGAACAGATTAAGACAGTGTTCTCCTGCTATACAGTAACCACCAAAGTTGGTATTTGTTTTCCAATCTCTTAGTTGAATCCACAAAGTTACATCAAGCAGGAGACTTGTCACAAGATCCTATATCACATCTTTCCTAACAAAATGACAAGCATAGTAAATAAAAACAATTTAGAGCACCAGACAATCTATTCTAAATACCACCCAGACAAAATCCTGGGTCTGCCATCAGCAAGTATCACACTCTCCTTCAAGTAAGACCTGCCATTATTATCCTTTACAGAAAAAAAAAAAAATTCTTTCCCCAGCCACCCCCCCATCAGTATTTCTTTCTAAACACTGTCATTCTCTTTAAACATTTCTAGAAAAACAATTCTGCCTGTTTCATCAAAATGGAATGGGTCAATCATCTGGAAACTCGAATGCAATAATCTCCACTTGGAATAATTATCTAAAAATTGTGAAATTCAAATTTTAACAAATAACTACTAAATCACAAATTGCTCAAAATAATATTTCATATAAAGCATTTCTCTGAATGTATGCTTAAAAGCTGTCAAACTGGAACACATCAGATGAAAGTTACACCGATTTTTTAAATGTTGTGCAAAAATACATTTTTATAGAAAATAGACTACAAGGAATGAACAGTTTCATACTGTGAGAAATCAGCTTGCAAATTAAGTAGTGTTCACTGTATACAGCAAATTATAAATAGCAGTAGAATCACCCAAAGCTATCATGAAACATCATTTAGGTGCCCAGCAACCTTCAGCTCTGAGAAAACACTTTAAAAAAGAAGGAAGATTAAGGCTTCACCCCTACTGTAAATCTACTAGGAAGTTTAAAGGTGCTATTACCCTGATTAGAGTTCAGGTGATTTCTCCAAACACAACTTAAGTACGCAATTTCCTGAGGACGTAAGGTTTTCAGACATTTCAAGAGCATGCATTTTGTTCGATGTACATTTTGGACAGGGATATGGCCATGGATTTGGCAAGTTCCTCGTCGCGTTTCCTTTGCACTTGAGTCTGTTTGCACCAAGTATCATACTCTGGGTTAGGATAGCAGTGATCAAAAACCGCATCGTAGTGTCCATTACTGAGCCAACTGAGCCAAATACTGGGCCTCAGGGAATCCTCAGGGCCCAGATAGTGAATCATGGTAGACACCGTGGGGCTCTCCAACCTCCCTCCCGTTGTTAAGTGAATATTGACGTTCAGCATCTGCCCCATGGCCAATAACTCGGGGTAGCCGGCCCATGCGCCGTCCTGGGCGGCGGCGATGATGAACTCCCCCACGTCGCCCTCGATCAGGGGGCTGAAGTGGTCGAGGTGGTCAGCAATATGGTGCACCGTCTGCTCCCTCAGCTCTCGGTGCAGGCTCTGGTCCCCGTACACAGCCTTGCTGACAGCTCGGTACAGGCAGTTGCCGTCGGGGATGATGTGGAACCGGTACTTATTCCTCTCTCGAAGATACTTGTCCTGCTTCTCCACTTCGGCCAGGTACAGGGCGAGCTTCTCATCTCTAGGATCCGATCTGGCCACGACCACGGTCTCGGTGGCGCTGCTCGGGGCGGTCTCGCTGCCCCGCACCGGGGTCACCTCGGTCTCCGGGTCCTGTCGCTGGGCAGGGCCCGCGCTGGAAGGCCGATCGCTGCGATCACCGCCTCGTTCCCAACCCTGGCGGATCCTCTCTGCCCGGTGCTCTTCGACCCACAGTCCGGGGCGGGGTTCCGGGCTCCCCGAGGCCGCCGCAGGGCCTCGGTGCCGGGAGGCGGCCAGGGCCTGGCGGTGCTCGCTCAGTCGGAAGTTTCGATCGGGTCCCTCCCGGGCGGTGTCCGGGACGGCGGGCTCGGGACCCTCGGGCCTCAGCAGCTCCTC